TTTAAAATGTTCACAAACCAAAAATTATTTGTTGAAAGCAGCTCAAAATTTTTAGAATTCTCTCATAGTTATTTTCGGCAAAATTTGACCAAAGGTCCTGTACTATAGTACACCCGATTTTTGAGCAATTTAAAAATTCATGAAAAATCCACTTTTGATCGGAATCATCTCAAACTTGCTATGCAACATAGGAACATGTATATGTATCAGAAAAAATTATAAAAATGGAGAATTCTCTCCTAGTCATTTTCTGTGAAATTTGGCCAAAGACCCTGTACTGTAGTACAGGGACTTTGGCCCGATTATTGAGTAACTATAAAAATTCATAAAAAATTAAATTTTTGTCGGAATTATCTCAAACTTTCTACACGACATAAGAACATGTATATGTATCAGAAAAAATTATAAAAATGGAGAATCCTTTCCTAGTCATTTATTGTGAAATTTGGCCAAAGACCATGTAATACTGTTACAGGGACTTTGGCCCGATTTTTGAGCAACTTTAAAAATTCATTAAAAAGTGAATTTTGGTTGGAATCAGCTCAAACTTGCTATACACAACATATGAACATGTATATCGTATAGCGCTTTAATTTGGTAGAGTTTTATTTTGGCGATTGGCAGTCTGCAAACGGAATCACCAATATGAAATCTGCCAATCATTAATGCCCATGCTCAGTAATGCACATGTACACAAAAAATTGTCAATTACAATTTTACAGCAAAATCTCCAAAATAAAGCACTATACAGTATGTCTCAGAAAATCTGTTTTAAGATGGGGGTGATTTCATAGCCATTTTTTGGAAAAACCCATGGCTTTTGCTTTTTTCTCAAAATTGTCTTGTTTTTAAAATGCTCATAATTCGAAAATTTTTGTTTGAAGCAGCTCAAATTTTCTACATGCTGTGTATACAAGCACATTTTTATTGCCAGAAAATTTTATTGTCCATTCAGCAGCCTTATAATAACAAGATATTTTTGTTGATTTTTATTTTCATTGATTAACATCAATTATTATTTGCCCAGTCATACCCACTTGGTTACATTGTCTAAAATTTTGGTTAAGAATTTTGGCCAATGAAAAAGTGAAAATTAGCATTCAAAGAAAGTTTTCTGCTAAACAGTAGCATAAGAAGTAAGGACATTAATATGTATCAAAAAATGTAATGAAAATTAGGGGTGACTTCAGAAGTATTTTTGGAAAAACTTATGGGCTATAGTACAGGGTATTTTTCAGAAATTGGTGCGTTTGTTTTTAAAAATGGCCATAACTTATTTCAAACTTAGTAATATAATTGGTTTGGAGCCATTCTTTAGAGCATGGTCTTTGACTAATAATTATTACAGAGCTGCTCAATGGCACATTGTTGCAAAATTGATTTGCCATCACCAATTTGCCAAAATTTAGCCCTCCAGTCCAAAATTTGCTGCTGTGTAGTACAATTGCTCAAACTTCCTATAGCATCAATAATGTATCGGACAATGGGATGAAAAATAAGTGTGATTTTGAAGGTAATTTTTGGGCTATAAATAGTCCATGCTTTTTTGAAAATTTGCTTGTTTTTTAATAATAACTTTAATCAGAATTGGCTTTAGACATCAGTATAATGTATGATATTTTAAATAATTGGCATATTTTAAGACATCCATAAGACCATAACTCCAGAGTTGTTACACAGAACTTGCTACATTATCATAAGGACATTGATGCAGTATTTTATTTATGTGCCTTTATCTATAGGTATCACAAATTTCATCAATGAAGGACAATGATAATGTATTTAGTGAGGTACTGTTCAGATATACTGTAGAGCACTAATTATGAAAGTCCATTTCCATTCACCTGAGCCTCGGAAGTGATTACAAACCCCACCATTAATACCCACCATTAGACAGTATCAAAAAAGTAAAGTATGGGTTCTACAACTAACTTGAAGCTATAGTTACTTTTAATTCCAAAATAGATGCTGCAAAAGGAGTTTGTATGTGCAGTACATGGAACAGGTAAGTCAAAAATTATAGCAAGAAAACGAGGGCTCAGGTCAACGTTAATGGATTATCATTGACAGTGCCATATCATTAGCTAATAAGCTACTGGATAGTAGGGTAAGTGTTTAATTTTTTGTAATTTCCGTTTTCTTGTTCTTTCTATCAAATCTCTTTCCTTTCATGAAATTCTCTGTTATTAGCTTCACCCACACTTTGCACAGGCAAGGACTAGGTATATACTAGTGTTGTTTGGTGTGTCATTTGATTATTTTATTGATCTTATTTATGATGATTATTTAAAGAAAGAGAATTATAATATTTGTTATCAGGAGAATATTCACAGTTGTCTGTTATTTGCCGTTTTGATCAATCATTCTCTATTATCTATTTTTTAAAACTTAAAATGGGAGGTTAAGGTTTCAGGTTTCTCTGAGGTGTGGCTTGTTAGGGTCCCGATAAAAGTAGGAGTAGGAGTTTGCTAGATAAAAGTAGGAGTAGGAGTTAGAAGTAAATGAGTGGGTGGCTACCGGAAGTTAGCCGCACACGCAACGAGTGAAATTAAAAGTTTGAGTAGTTGGTGAAAAATTAGTCAAAATAATGACTAGTCTAAGATATTAATTTTTTCATTTTCATTGTGTACTTAATTTCCTTATTATTCT